CATTGGTAGCTCAAGGTTGATTGCCAGAGTGAACTGGCAGTTACTTCCTACCATAACTCTTGCTGGCACCAATATTCCATTCAGTGTTTCTGTAAAAAACTTAGGATTTACTGTCGATAACTGTTTGAGTTGGGGTCCACAGTTACAAGCTGTTAGCCAAAAACTGTTCGCTTCAGTAGCCTCGCTGAAGAGAGGCAATTTCCTCGCCGCAATTTCCTTCCTACTGCCACCAAAATTTCCCGAGCACAATATCTGCTGCTTCCTATTCTTGATGACGCTGACGTCTGCTATCTTAATCTCACGGAAGACTAGCTTAATAAGCAGCCTTAGAAAGGCTAGAGAAAATTCGACATGGCCATCAGAGCCACGGCAGCATAATGGTCAGTGCATTCGCCCGGATATCGAAAGATGTGGGATCGAATCTCGTCTGCTGCCTGGTCCGCGTGGATTTTTTCCTAGTAAAATTTTCTGTAATTTTAATAATCTAGCAGGTAAATGCTTAAAATATATATATAACTTTTTTTACTAAATGCGATAAGTTTCCGAGTTATAAATTTTTGACAAGAATTAAAACAAAAACTTACAGAAGCGGAAAGAAAAATAAAGAAAGAATATTTAAGTAGCTTCAGACAATTAAAACAGAACTTTTTAAGACGTTGGCAATTGTGTATTCTGTTTGGAGGAAGGAGTTTTGAAAATTACTGTAATAAATAGTAATTTTTCAGTCATTTATGCTTTTTATTTGTATCAAAAAGCAGGTAACAGAGACAAACGGCGTATTTTGTTGCTATAAGATAAGCATGCTTCGTACATCATAATCACAACCCTTATCGGGGTAGGACCAACCCCCGACCCCGAAGACACCAGATATTTCGTATCTCGTGAGCTAAAGTAGCTAGCGACCCGAGACCAACTGCGTATTTTGTTGCTATAAGATAGGCATGCTGCGTACATCATAATCACAACCCTTATCGGGGTATGACCAACCCCCGACCCCGAAGACACCAGATATTTCGTATCACGTCAGCTAAAGCACCTAGCGACCAGTTTTTTGGTAGTTTAGAAGCATGCTGAGTTTTTAATTGTAGCCAGAAGCTATGGAAACTCCTTTTTGTATTTTTAAATTTAATGTTTGAGTAAATTCTTCTAAAACTAAAGTTCCAACTTTCAAGCCTTTTTTGAGTTGAGTAACTTTAAGTAATTTCAGGAAGCTGAGTTATTTTTTTTTATTAAAACAACATTCAAAACAATTATGTCACAAAAAAGACTGCAAAATACCTACTACGAATAATGATATGAATTTTTGAAATCTCGCTTGCAGAAATCATTAAAAATACACAAAAAAATATAACTCGAAAACTGAGAAAAATCGCGGAGTATACATGGGGTATTTTCGGATACCCCCAGGTGCGAGGAATCTAAAAAAAATTGTTGACGTCACTAATTTTACCACCCTGTATATATATATATATATTTATGTACTTGTATATATATTTCATGGACAGGATCCCAATCTATAATGATAAATCGAAATGTATGTAAGAAGCAAGTACAAGTGGTTTTATTTTTGCTTACTTTAAAAATGCATTTTTCAAAACTAGCTTTTTTAGAGTTTCAACTTCAAACATGTGGTAAAAATAATTGCTTATTGAATCAAATGACTACTACCCCACTACTGGACCCTTTTTTTTTGGAGAACAACAAATAAGAAAACACCGAATGTTTACATATTTATAAAAAGAATTTATTACCTATTAAAATAACCTATCTCAATTTTGCCCGTTCCCTCAGAAAATAAAGAGAACAGAACAGGTTGTGGAATCGGAACTGTTACAATAACGTATAGTTCCATTTTGTTCGTTCCTGGAACCTGTTACTGGAGCTGTTCCGATAATATATACGCTGTGATGATTTGAGCGACGTAGGGTGGACTACATAATGATTGGCCCCTTAAGCGGAATTCTTTATTTGTTTGTCTGTAGTAAATCAATTATAAGTTTTCGATTGATTAAAGTCTGTTTTTTAATTTCGGAGACAAAAATGACACATGCAAATGTCAAGTTTTCAAATAATGATACCAGCTTTTATTATGTAGTGTTGTACCGCGATCCCGGGTTTTTCAGTTTTTATTTTTATTTGACGGTTATTGACAAAGAACGTAATGGAAATACTCACTCTCGGAATGTATAAAACATATTGTAAAGTAATAATACACCACTTTTATCGTTCGTTGTACATTTAATTTTATTCCATAAACAAACAGGAATGTCGTGTCGAACGTCAATAATAAAAAAAAAACATAAAGCAGAGACAATAATGTCGGTTGCAATGCATCCTCATTATTTAAAAGTTATTTAATAAATTATTGATATTTTCCAAAAATTTAAAAACTATAGCTCACTTTATCAATTTAATTTATTTTATATGTTGTACGGTAATATACGCCATTTTTATTTTAAATAAAAACGGAGTCAACTGGTTCAGTCAACATGATGACATTTCAGTAAATTCATATTTAATTAGTTCAAAGTTCGTTTGAAATCTCCTGTGTGTAAATAATGTTATATTCATGATTTACTAATAAAGGAATTGAAAATATATTAATATATGTTTATTTTATAGCTGCAGAGGTACAGATATAAAATTAACTTTTATTAATATAGATTCAGCCTCTTATTATTCTATTCATTTATCATTTTTTCCGTACAAACGCTATTTTCTTACGTGATTTTTTTTTACCGACTAAAAAGGATGTTTTTTTATGTATGTACATATTATTGTGATCCTATTTTCGTAATTCCTTTTTTCTCCAATGCAGAATAGTTTTCATTTGATCCAGTGAAAATTTAATTCAGTTTGTCCCAGTACTTTTCATTTATGAGCGATGTAATTTTCATGATACTTTGTGTACGTACACTAATATTTCCGATTCACACGACATCACGAAATCGGGCGGTTTCTAGTATGATTTGGAAGTCGGGTGGGGTCAAGATTAAAACACATACTTACACCGATTAAAAATTAAAATCAGTTTCATGTTTGAATAGAAATATACAGGTGTTACAAATATACAAATAAAGCTTGAAGGGCGTTGAAGAACATCATATAAGGAGTCTTCTCTAATTTTCTTAAAATTTCGCATGACGATTTAACTTTTTTTATCAACAGTTATTTTTAATGGTTAATAAAAATATCGATCATTTTAAGATACGTCACTAGTTCGAGGATCAAGCTTTATTTGTATTTTTGTAACGCCCTGTATATATACAAGGTAAAATTTAATGTTTTAATGAAACTTTGTGGGATTATTGAGCTACTTGTATAGAGTATGCCTGATTTTTTTAGGATTTTTGAAGTATTTTTTTCATGATTTTATTTATAATTTGTGTATTTTTATGTCTTTTCCTCCTTTTGAGTAGTTATTCATTTTAAACACGCATAGGTACAGTGAAAAATGACTAATAAATAAGCACTACTAAAAAACGTAAAAATAGTAAAATTAAGCGAGCGCGGCCACCGCGAGTCAACGACCCGTTCGATGTTGAGCGAGTAGGTACACAGATTCCTTTGATTCAGGGTTCCCAACTTAGGGGTTTTGCCCCCAGATTTAGGGGCTAGAAGTGTTAAAAGTGACTTTTTTAGGGGCTGCAATTTTTTGGTGGTTCTTTTAGGGGCTTTTAACAAAACTTTCAATTAAATCGAAAAACAAAGCATGTGTTTTCTTTCAGTTTTGTGCGTAGAATGGAACGCAGCACGATATGAAAGGACTGAACTCTGACTGACTGTGTGGCAGATTGTTTCCTAAGGCTGTATGGACTAAAGTTCTTTGCCTTCCACCAATCAAAACAGCTAAATAAGATTTAACCGCCTGTCAGCTCATTTTCGTTTGATTTTCCATTCGGAAAATGTATTTATTCAATAAAATAATTTACTGTAACAGAATATGTAACGTTTTAATTTATGAGCAACGAAATAATTTAGTTAATAAGATAAGTAGGTACATATAATTTTCTATATTTAGGGGATTTTAGGGGAATTTAAAAAATACTTAGGGTAAAATTTTGGTAAGGGTTGGTAACACTGCTTTGATTCCACACAATAAAATCGTCTTAGATGCCAAATTTATTGAAATAATTAGCACAAATGTATCTTCTCTTAAGCAGAGAAAAACCTAAAAAGTTAGGTAATCATATTTTTATCACAATTACAAATAGGCAAACGTTAAGCAAAAACAAATGCTTATTGCAATTAAATACTTAAGTCAGAAAAAAAATTATAACCAGGTATTCAAAAGTACTTACGAGACCGATGTACTTTTTTTTTCCTCTATACTACTATATATATATATACTCTACTTATACATATATTTTATTCACTTTTATATGGAAATTTTAATTTTTTTATCAAAGAAACGACATACAGACAGACATTCCGCTAGGTCGAGTCACTGCGGCTCATAGACTATCTCATAACTGGAAATTCGGTTCCGATAATACTCTTACTAAAACTCTTTTAAATAAAAAAACGATACTAAATATTTTATGAGCGTTAATTTCCGATAGTAGTACATCACTATTTAAGAACACGGACACATTTAAGAACACACACACTATTTAAGAACACAAACACATTTGCATTAAAACGGCAGCACAGGTAATGTCATTTTGGTCTCTGAGATAACAAGACAGCCTTATAGAAAAAAGAAACACAAAAAAACTTTTTAAATGAATACTATGGCTGCATGACTCTGCCTTTGCCTTTCCCAAGATGGGAATAAAGATTAAAACAAAAAGATAAGAAGACAGGTGTCGATTCTGACATAATTCTCTAAACCTAAACTTAAATTTGACAAGAGTGTATCCTTGTCATTCTTTATACAGAATGAGAGGGAGAGACTGAAGTTAAATTTAGTTTTAAGTTTAGAGATCATGGCAGAATCGACACCAGAATCTCTGAATACGGATTAATCAAATGAATGAAACAGAAATACTTCTCATTCATCGTCATTCATTACAGCTGTCATTCAATATAGAAACGAAAAGTTTCTTCGAAGAAATTTAAACTTTTTGATTTAAAACACAGTTGTGCGGCTTCTAAAACTATTGTTTTACGTTTCTAATTCGTTTTATGTTATCCTACTTCACCACATAATTAAGCACTTTGTTCAAGCTAACCGAGACGAAGTGACAGAATATTAATCACAATGAAAGTGCATGTAAACATTTAGAATTATACGGAGATTAAGGAACATTACTTGTTCTCTGTTATAGCTGCTGCTTTGCGATTCTGACATGGCAGATAGTGGGTCCTTCGTTGCAAAACCAGTCCGCGGTTGGTTACATCCTGACGCCGTACTAGCAAGCGATGGAGTCACATACGCTGTTCGGGTATGCATCATTTACTTTGCATTTATAACCTTATATGACCATAACCATAATTCAAGGTTATATCAGTGCTACAGTGCAGTAGATAAAGTTTCACTATTATTCAATTAAACAGTAAAGTTGCCTCCCCTTATTAATGTTATTAGTAATCTTGTTTCTGTTCTTAAACTAGTAAAAGCATTACATGAAGTAAAAAAAATATCTCAATTTTAAATTAGCTATGCCCCAGAAAAGAATTTAAATTTTAACTCATTCAATAACTTTTAAAGACGTAATTGCATTTGTTGCCATTTACGCAGTCAACACTTTATGTTAGTAAATGTGCAGTAGTGTGTATTCATCCAAAATTCTGATTTTGAATTGTCATTCCCTTAAGTAATGGCTAATCATGATATTGCCAAAGTTGTGATAAGTCACAAAGCCAGTCATCATAAAAAGAAGAAGAAGATGCAGTCTTAAATGAGATTTACAGCTGGAAACAATTTATTATCAAAATTAAATAATTAATTTCTAAAAACAAACTATTATTAAACTTTTATTTTGGTTATTTTATAGTATATTGGCTGCATGGAAGTATTGACTTCAATGAAAAAATTGGATTTTGAAACAAGATCTCAAGTGGCAAAGTGAGTATAATAAAATTTTTGTAAAATAAGTGAAAATTTATGATTGGGATTTTTGTTATCTTGTCATTTAAGCTAAAATTAAATTACTTGGATTTAATTTTCTCAAGTGACAATGAAAATTACATATAGAATCAACAGTTTTATCTATCCTATCACAGTTTAATTTTCCTAATATACATCAACAAAAAAATATTAAAAGTCTAATTGACTAAATTAAAGGTATGGGATGGTTACTTATGAGAAGTAGAGCATATAAAATATTCTTAATATTGTAATGACTAGAGGTAAGTGATAGGGCCATGTAAAACAATATTCAAAAATAGAAAGGTTGACCGAGTGTTTCTGTTACATGACCATCTATCTATAAGTGTTAAGCTGTAATATTTTTGCTAAATGTAGGGAGACTCAGACTAAATAAATCGATTACCTTATTTTTACTTATTGAATTATATTACACTTGAAGCCTGTTTATAGGAGAGTACAGACCTAAATTAGTCAATACTGGTACCAATTCTGGCATCATTTTCTAAACTTAAAACTAAATTTAACATCAGTCTCTCCTTTTCATTCTGTATAGAGAATGACAAGGATATGTTGCTGTCAAATTTAAGTTTAGGTTTAGAGAATCATGCTAGAATCGACACCAATGCAATATTTTGGTCAAGGAGTATCTTGACAGAAGTGGTAGTTTGCAAGTGATCAAGAAGTTAAGTTTATATATCAATTTTGGGCAATTTATGTTACCATTTGCAACCCTATGGAGAAAAGATAAGCTTATCATATTGCGCCGAACTTTCAGTGATGAAAATTTATATATTTTAAATTTATTTATTATAATTTTCCTTTTTATTAATAGCTTATCGAGAATAACAAGGATAAATTGTCAAATTTAATTTTAGGTATAGATAATCATGCCAGAATTGACACCATTTTGTTTCTACCCTGGATCTATATTTTAAAAGCTAGATTTATCTGTGACTTTGTTTCAGTCTGTTTTAGTTTTTGGCAATGACTTTACCTTACAACGCAGAACTTTTAAAGTCATAATATTATTATGCATATCAGTGAAAGTTTATGCCTTCATTTTACAGAAAATCATTTGGCATTCACTCATTTAGCAGGCCGCTGCCGCGTCACGATCGCTTTAATCGCTCGGCTCGCGCTAAGATTAGGTCACAACATTATCTAGCTCACTGACCATAAATACCGTCTATGCTTAGCGAATTTATGCAGAATAAAATTTTGGCAAATGTAATTATTAGAGATGGGCCGACTATAGTATATGCCGAATAGTCGACTGATCGGTTTTCTATAATTGCCGACTAGACTAGTCGGCCCATATCTGTAGTAATTATGCTTAATAAAAATCCTGCCATCTTATAAGCTATTGCCAGCTCAAAAAAAAACTAAAAATGTGACAACCCTTTGTTTTTACCCCGACCCTTTTATATTATAATCACTTGACCATTTTACTTGAAAATTTTGCTCTCTAACATCTATTATAGAAATGTTGCTATGTTTGAAATTTAATTTAATAAAAATAATTAGAGAGCCAAATAGTTAATGGTATGACTGGTTTCTTCTATAATTTTCTATCTGTAGATGTATGAAGATGAATCTGCTATTGATGTTAATACTTAAGTATTAACACACAATTTGTATTAATACTGAATGACACAGCAATCAAAATGCAGGAACAATAGGGAATATGCATGATAATCTTTTATAATTATATTCCATCCTTAATGTTAATGAAAAAAATCAACTTTGAAAAAATTGTGACATATTAATGTCTTAAAAAATGTTAAAAATAGCCACTTTGCACAGGCATTTTGAACGCGCGTTATTTTGGAACTTTTGGTATGACGTCAGAGTTCTGCGAGATTTACACTACCCAATTTTAAGGGACCATCCCGTTTTCAAATCAACCTAGTAACAAAACAAAAGTCCACATTTAGATTAGGAGGTTAGGTGCGAGCACACTATGCATTCGCACAAGTTCTCGTTGATTTTGAAATATCCTGTGAACATAGCACTTGTTTGTTGATTTGTTGCCTTGTATCTCTACGTCACAACCGCTCTGTCGCGTTTCAGATATTTGAATTTCCCAAAAGTTTATGGCAATGCATTAATACATTTGCTAAAAAATAAATTTTATAAAACTAATCAAAAGTAATAGTTTGTATAAACAAAATTATCCTTATTTGAATCACATGCATATTCCCTTCTATTGTACATACAAATATATATTCCAAGTTAGGTAATGAAAGGTAACTCCATGTATAATCTTATATTGAAGTAAGAAGTAATGAAATTATAATAACAATACAGGGAGAAAAAACAGCCCTTGCTGAGTTTCTTGCTGCTTCTGGTCAGTACAAAGTCTTTTATTAGCCTTAGATTTGCGAACCAATGGCGTAGTAACTTTCTTTAGAGCTTCTATGAGCCTAAACTAAATGAACTATATTAAATTTGTGTGTTTATTACGTACAACAGGGAATGTATTGCTCGAGTTTGCGCCGCTGCCGGGCTTCGGTCGGCAGACAAGAAGCGTCGCGTATGTCAAGCAGCAGCTCGAGCTCTCGCAGCGCGACCGCGGATGGCGCACTCTGGAGCCAATGTAGCCCTCACCGTGTCATCAAGAGCCATAACCTTAGCAGCTTTAGAAGGGGGCGAGACCGTCGCACGCCACGATATGCCTCGCGTTTCGTTCGCCTCTGGTGGAGACGCGGACTCATTAGACTTCGTGGCGTACGTAGCCAAAACCGCCCCACCCACGGAATGGAGAGCATGCTATGTACTAGAATGCGGAGGGAGACTCGCACAAGATGTGATAGCCACTATTGGACAAGCATTTGAGCTGCGCTTCAAAGAATTTTTAACGAAACCCTCATCGTGAGTATTGATGATTCATTTTATGATATTATGACATTTCATTTTCACTTATCCTAAAATGACTACTACCTACATTCAAAATTACCCAAAAAAACCCATACCATATAAAATTAATCATCATCGTTAATCATCATCAATTCATTTTGGTCCATAATGTTTATGACCTAATTTTACAAAAAATAATAACGTCCTCTACTACAAATAACAATTCAAATTTTCAACTTGGTCTTATCTTACAATATATTTTTCCTACCAGGTTGAATATAAACGGGTCTCGTTCGGCAACGGGCGAGTCTTCAACTTCAGGCATGCCGCTAGACGACCGCGACTACTACAACGACATGCCGGACAAAATGCCTCCGGATCCTGCACCGACGCAACGGCACCCGCCCCCGCCGCCTCTGGCTAACCTTGCGGCTTTATCGTCGTAAGTCCCTACTATTCTCCTATCGTTATGTAGGTTGAACATATTTGGGTCTCGCTAAGCAACAACCGAGTCTACACATTCAGCACCTGCACCCGCCCTAGCCACCTCTGGGCCAACCTCGCGGCTTTATCATCGTAATTCCCAAATTTTCTCTCATCATTATCATTGGAGGTTTTCTAGCTCAAAGTTCGCTTGAAAACTTAGTATCCGAGCCTAACATCATAGGAGAAATGGAAACGGCTGGACTTTGCTGACTCGGACATGTCGAAAAAATAGGGGAGGATTGGGCCGTGAATAGAGCTTATCTGGGACGACCGTTTGGTTTACCCATATGATACTGCTGGAGCGACGACGTGCAGAAAGACGCAGTCTCTGAATGCTGACTGCTGCCGATGTCTGTCCATTTCGGTCAAGTCAGTATTATCATCGAAGTCCCAACATACTACGTCCTATCCAACTTACTGGGCGAAAGACCTCGGCTCACCGGAAAACCTCCAAGAGGCAATCACCAACGTGAAGGCCCTGGACACGCAAAACAGGCGCCATAAGAAGGTCGAGTTGCGGAAACGCAAGTTGCAAAGAAGAACTTTTCCTTCATGTCTGCCCGTCTGAAACAGTTGGAACGGCACCCCCGAACTTTCGCTCTCATATACTGAAGAATCATATACATGAGAATCATGACTCCATGATTGAGCAGTTTGAGAGGGATGCAGGCCCTTTTTTATGGAGGAAAAATCTCTATTTACAGACGTTGGCGCCCTTAAGGGGCACACCAACGAACGGACCTCACACTTCTCCTCTCGCAAGTCTCACGGGTGCCAAACGGAGAAGCCGTTAAGCAGTCCTCGCGGCTTACGAGCGCTTACAGCATACTATCCGCTAAAAATCCTGCGAACCGGTCACCCTGCGTACATTCTGAGGACCGAAGTGTCCGCAATGCACGCCGGGAGTGCGGGTGTAGTCGCGGCAACCGTTGCCGACTGTCGGCGTACCCGCAAGGTGATTGGCCGCGCACCCGCAAGGCGATTATCCGCGCACCCGCAAGGTGATTGTCCGCGCACCCGCAAGGTGATTGTCCGCGCACCCGCAAGGTGATTGTCCGCACAGCCGCAAGTTGATTGTCAGTGCACCCGCAAGGTGATTGTCCGCGCACTCGCAAGGTGATTGTCCGCGAACGGACCCACCCCGATGAAGTAAGTTCCCGGGAGTATTTGGGGCATTAACATCCAGAGAGCTTGTGCAATGCGTCGATCTGATAGAGTGTAAGTTAGAAACCTGCTGCCTTTGTGTGGTGAGTCGACAGTAAAGATTCCTAAGCTACAGGCTTTCTTCGAGATAATGTAAAACTTTGGTTGACAATTAGCTTTATACTCTTACTTATGAGCAGATAGAAGACTTTCTGAGTAGATAACCTCAGGCATACTCCATTAGGCACACCCACAATGACACATACCCATGCACAAATACATAAATTCCCAAATTTAAATGATTAGTTAATTAGCTTGTTGAATTTAATTTGAATCATTCTCTAATTCAAATTTACTTAAATATTTTTCTTTTCATTGATAACGTCATTAACTTCCTGTAAAGGCTTTATGATGTATAAATAATTTTTGATTCTAATTCTGACAAAGTTCTTTTTGGCGTACTTCCTCATCGGTAACACTGAATTGTATAATATTAAATACACCCGTTTTCACGTAACGTGACGACATATGAGGTAATATTTGCATGCTATCTTTGCGCGCTTACATGTGGGTGCGTTAATTTTCCCCATTACAGTGTTCAGTAGTGTCCCGAAAGCGCATTCGAAATGAGTCCAGACCGGCGTTTAAATTATACCGTTTTATTATTATTCATACCGTGGATTATGAATGAATATACGTACGGTTAAAAGAGAAAGTGTAGTTATTGTTATATCAGCGTTCCGTAGATTAAACCGAAATGGGGTGTTTCGCAGAATTGGTTAAGTATGCATTTGCCCGCAGGTGCGAAGAAAGCGTACGACACTATGTGAACCAAACTCCGCCCCCGCGTACGCCGCCCACTGCGCTACTGCCCAATCACCACACAGACATCTTCGATATGCGTGAGTATTTTCTTCATTGTGTCTCGATTATCTGTTCATAAGTCCTTCCACAATATATTACTGTAAATACATCTCTTGTCAGGCGCGGTCCGAAGGGGGGGGGGAGGGGTCACAGGGGACATGACCCCCCCCCCCCCCCCAAATCTAAGGTCAAATTGAAAATACCCAAAAAATTGCCAAATAATAAAAGGAAATTTCTAGCTATCCTCTAACAGCGATAAATTTATAGTTTGCTGACATCTAGTGGTGTTTTTATGAACTATGTACGATGGCCAAAACATCTTGTACTTCTAGTATTATACCATCGAAGTTTGTGATGATGATTTATACCCAAATATAAAGACATTTCTCAAAATTCTGGCAACTCTTCCCATAAGTGGTGCGACAGCAGAGCGATCCTTTTCTACACTTAGGCGTGTAAAAACGTGGTTGAGAGCTAACATGTTAGAAGAGCGATTAACAGGTTTAGCTCTTCTAAACATTCACCCGGAAATAGTACCAACTATTTCCGGGTGAATGTCTCAAATATTATCACCCGATTCGCAAATACAAAAAGACGACTTCCATTTGTTTTTTATGTATTGTATTAAATAAAATTGTGTCTTGTGCAATAATGTTTATTTTGTTCTAGATACCTATTTTTTATTAGTGTAGTGAGTGACCCCCTCCAAAATTTCAGGCTGCGACCGCGCCTGTCTCTTGTAAATAACAAACAATATTTATGTACCAAATGTGTGGTGAGAATTTAAATAAACATTGTTATTATACAGTAGTAGTAGACGATCAAGCCATAAAACCCTTATAATACCTAATAACTGACAGATTTCCGAATACTAAGTAAAAAAATAATGTCTCAAAGTAAACATGTAAAGTTCACCCAACAAAGTTTATCGCGCTTCAAGATTTATATTGTAAGCCATTAAAATTCCATTTCCATTCATGAACTTTTTTTTATTGTTATCATTGTGAAGGAAAAGGTAAACAACAACTCGCGAAACAAATGACTGTATTATACTGATTTAAGATTTTTCACTCTTTTGTTGTATTGTGATACTATTACAAAAGAAAATATGGACGAAATGACAAAAGGTTTTGGGTATACTATTGAATTGATTGTATTAATCTAAGATGATAGATTAATACACATAAACTTTTGTCAGTTTATTTCAGCATATTGATAATCATCTTTATCTGCGCGGAAGAGATACTTGCTTGTTTATGTTAAAAGAATGGCAAACAAGCGTATGACCCGCCTGATGGTAGTGTTATTCTACTATGATGTTCTTTAAGGTGGAGGTAACTTCCCCAGACGGGAACTACCTTTCTTTATTTTTGCTTGTATGTTCTTTACTTAAAAAGCTAGATCATAATATTATGATTTATGTTTTTTTATATAAATTATTATATAGAAGAGAATATTTATAGGTAGGAGTATGGTTATTATGAAACAGGTTAATAACTTGTGACGTTGAAATGAAGCCAAGAAATTCACACACAAACTTCGCGCAATCGCTTTGATTACTGTGGTGAACAAATTACATTTTCATAAGAAATTTGGAAAGTGGTTTTCCTTTTCCCCGTAATCATTAAACAACTGTATTATATAAAGTGGTTTTCCTTTCCCCCGTAATCATGAAGCAGGTCTATTATATAACATCCAAATATGTTAATTTAGAAAGTAATTACGTGTTGAAATGTAAGTAAAGCGTGAAATTGTGACATTGTTTTGTGTGTCATCCATGTTTTACTGTGATGCAACTTTTCATTCTGACGTTTAAATTTTGTTCGTAAAATATAGGGAACCTATTTTAACATTAAATATAACTTACTATCGACGGCTGGAGCATGTTCGAAAAGTGGTGTTAGCTCTTCTGTACTTCGAAAGGCACGTTATGCATCGTTGCCGGTCGTCAGCATCAACCATCGCACTAGGTTTGTGTGCGTGGTTGGATACGTGCCATTCGCCCTAATCCCTTCATACTTAAGGCCTGTGCCGGTAGAGAGGATAAAGGATTATAATAACGTAAAAAACGGTTTTAAGAGCGATGAAGTTGATGTGTTATTGTACATTTGTCCCAAAGTAAATTTGTTACGAAAAAAGATACGTAAATTCGCCACAGTTCTAATTTTATGAAGTTATTTGCATGTGACGAATTAACTTCCAATATATGAAGCAAACGGAAATGTGTTGAATCAACTTTGTGGCGCCCTTGCTGATGTATACCACTTATATCTTTGTAAATTTTTAATAAGTTCAACATCGGGGTCTTCCAGAATGTTTTGGGAGAACCTATGTTAGGTGCAGCCAAGCTGCTATGTGATAGGGTGCGGCTTGTTAAATGTCAAAAAAAAAGTATTGATTTTCTGTTTTTTGTTTGAATCTTAATCTAAATACATAGATTTAGATTAAGATTCAATATGACTGATCTGAATCATTCATCAACTGATCATTTTTGGCCAAATGGTCCTTTATAAAAAATATAAAAAAATGACGAATGTACAATAACCCAAGTGATGCATAGTTTCCTTTTGTTGACAGAGCCATTCACAGCGACGCCTCTGACGTCATCGGCAGCGTCGTCGTCGTCTGCGTCATCACCACCCGCTGATGGCGAACCACTATCCCCCAAGTCGCAGGCGGCACTGCTGGCGCGAGAGCCCTGGTTCCACGGACCCATATCCAGGACCACCGCAGAGAAGGTCAGTTCCTTCCGATGATATACTTACAGCGTCGCCTCTGACGTCATCTGCAGTGCTGCTGGTTTCATGGACCTATATCCAGGACCACCCTCGAGAAGGTCAGGCAATTCCAAATATATTTTTACAGCGTCGCCTCTGACGTTATCGATGGAGCTGGCGCGTGAATCCTGGTTTCACGGACCCATATCCAGGACCACCGCCGAGAAGGTCAGTTCCTGCCAAAGATATACTTACAGCGTCGCCTCTTGCGTCATCTGCAGTGCTACTGGTTCCTCGGACCCATATCCAGGACCACCGCCGAGAAGGTCAGTTCCTCCCAATGATATACTTACAGCGTCGCCTCTTGCGTCATCTGCAGTGCTACTGGTTCCACGGACCCATATCCAGGACTACCGCCGAGAAGGTCAGTTCCTGCCAATGATATACTTGCAACGTCGCCTCTTGCGTCATCTGCAGTGCAACTGGTTCTACCGACCCTTATCCAGGACCACCGCTTAGAAGGTCAGTTCCTTCCAATGATATACTTACAGGGTCACCTCTGACGTCATCTGCAGTGCTGCTGGTTCCATGGACGCATATCCAGAACCACCGCCGAGAAGTTCAGTTCCTTTCAATGATATACTTACAGCGGCGCCTCTGACGTCATCTGCAGTGCAGCTAGTTCCACGGACCCATATCCAGGACCACCGCCGAGAAAGTCAGTTCCTTCCAATGATATACCTACAGCGTCGCCTCTGACGTCATCTGCAGTGCTGCTGGTTTCACGGACCCATATCCAGGACTACCGCAGAGAAGGTCAATTCCTTCCGATGTACTTACAGCGACGCCTCCGACGTCACCAGTGCTGCTGGAGCGTGATCCCTGGTTTCACGGACCCATATCCAAGACCACCTATTAATGTCCTCACTGCTGGGACACAGGTCTTCCCTATGAATAAAATAGGGAAATTGGGCCATGAACCACCACGCAGGCCAAATGCGGATTGGCGGGTGCTAACGACTGCAGATGCAGCCGGGACCAACGGCTTAACGTGCCTTCCGAAGCACGGAGGAACTCGAGATAGAAGATTTTTGGTCACCCATCCAATGACCGACCACTGCGAAAGTTGCTTAACTTCAACGATCGCAGCTGAACGCGCTAACCACCTGGGCCATCGAGTTCATCAGTAAAAAATAGTATCTTCAAAATACTACGATATTGACAAAAAGTATTTGTATACAGTCCATGCGAAGGTGTTTCTGGTCGTCGGTTAAAGTATGGGGAATCCATCTGGTACAAAGCTTCTTGACGCCTAAATGTTCGTGTAATATTTTTTGAACTTGACTCATACCAATGCCTAGGCTTACCCGTATCTGCTGATAGGTCACTCTCTTATCTCTATCATGCGCCGCACAGCACTGATGTTATCTTCAGTAGTCGCTGTTAAAGGACGTCCCTCACACGGATCATTATTGAGATTGCTACGTCCACGCTTAAACTTGTTAAACCAATTGTAAATAGCGGCACGAGATGGGGCTTCATTAAGAAATGCTAATCGCAGCCTATCATAGCTTTGTTGTTGAGGAAGCCCACAACGAAAGTCATAATAAATCATTGACCAAAATTTTTCTCGCGATAGGTTCATTTTCACGTCTAAAAAAAGTTTTAGATTTGCCGCCAATTCACAAAAACAAATGGCAAATGAATGCAATATGCTACATTAGGTTACCAACGAGTTCTAAAATTTAAATTCAAAAAAAGTTTTCATTAGCAATGTTTCTAACTGGCCAGTTCTAAACATTTTCAGTGTTACCCACGTATGATGTTTGTCGTAGTTGGTGGTGGAAGACGGGCAATTCCTGGTGCGCGAGAGCACCGCGTGCCCGGGGCAGTTCGTGCTGACGGGCGCGCGGCGCGGCGCTCACAAGCACCTGCTGCTAGTCGACCCCAATGGCGTGGTGAGTAGAGGATACTGTATTAACCCATCGTCTGTGTAGCCATCTACTTTGACGACCGACCGAGTGGTTTGTACGCCGGGTTTCATGGTGTCGCCGACTTGAGAGGTCCCGGGTTCGAATCCCGGTGGGGGCAGACGTTAATGTGATGAATACGAGCATTTGTACTCCAGTCATGGATTTTTAATATGTATTTCTATAAAAATATTCTAATATATGTACAGTTTACTGTATTCTATCCGTTACCCTAGTATTCCATAACACAAGCCTTGTAGTGCTTACTTTGGGGCTAGGCTAATTGGTGTGAGTGTTGAATATTTTTATTTATTTTATTTTACTTTGTTTTTCACCGACTTTCCTCTTATTATTCGAATTCTACTGAACATCCAGGCTTGATTTTTGTCTTAAATCAATCCTAAATAGTTTCTCTACAAACTTATTTATATTTAAGATGTGTAAATTAAAAATCATTACTAGATATGAGAAGCGCAAAAAAGGAAAAACGAAAATAATTTTCCCAACCCCTGGCAGAAACGATCCACTTACACAGGGGACACAGGGGTTAAATGTCGCCTTTATCAACTTTCTAATCCGTGCTTCGTGAGGGACGATAAGTAGTTGGTCCCGGCTGCACCTGCATTCGTTAGCACCCACCAATCGCAATACGTGAATAGGCTCGCGTAATGGATCATAACCTAATCTCCCTATTCCATCCTTAGGGAAGACTTGTACCCCAGCAGTGGGGACATAAAAAGGCTGATTATGAACCTTATGAGTTGTATTCTACGAATATCTAGTTAAATAGCTGTGAACCGCACAATCGCTTTCTCTCTTTCTAGTTAGTGGTTATTGCTCAGTAAACTGACTACCACTAAGATTTATCACCACCACCGTTATTGAGCCAGATTCCGTAAACTTAAAACTAAGAGCTAACTCAGACGAACATCTTTCCAACGTCTGCGTGACGGCTGTTTAGCAGTCCGCACTCGGTGGCCACGAATTTGTATAGAACCGCAAAAAGTAACAAATGGACGACTTCTCGCAGCGTGTGCCAATAAAGAAACGTAGCGTGTCGGCAGTACAAGCAGTCCTCGTGTTTACGGCATGTTAGGTTCTCGAAATACGCGACGTAAATCGAAACGACTTAAGTCGAGACATCCCCACGAACATTGACCTCGCGACAAGTGAATACTCCTATGCCGGAAATCGAAACAACTGACGTATGCTTGAGGAATCGTGTCAAAACATTGTTTAACGTAACTTGAAACGACGTAAGTCGAGGACTGCCTGTATCGCCTACAAAATAGCCGTCGGTCCCCGGTCTGCGCATGTTACTCACACGCAGCTGATGTCTATGAACGGCTAAACAGCCGTCACGCAGACGTTGGGAAAGTTCGTCAGAATTAGGTCTATATGGTTTATTCATAAAGTACGTCACACTATTTTCGTGATTTTTTACCCCTCCCCCGTCCTTGTCACATTTGTGAGTCCCCTCTCCCTAATGTGACGTCACATATTTTTCATCTAGAAATTATTAAACTAAATTGAAAATTTATCTAACAAAACAAATCAAAACCGGTACCTTAATAAGGGTATTAATAACGAAGATAACCTTGGATTAGTTGCTCCATATTTTGTCTCTGTTCATTGAATGAGAAATGAATAGCATTTAAGTGATATAAACAAAACATGGCTTAACTTATCTAAGCTTATTCCTCGTTTATTAATAAGTGGGATAGTATATATTTTAGATTTTTAATAAACTTGAAAAGTATTAGATTTTGATATCTCCCACCCCTTCTTACACAATGTCACACTTCGTCGACCCCTCCCTCCCCTTTAACGTGTCAAGTACTTAATGGATGATAACTTTGATGTCAGCTTTCAATTTGATGACACTGTATGAAATAAAACAGGGTGAGAAAAAAGCAGCCCTTGCTGAGTTTCTTGCCGGTTCTTCTCAGTACAAGGTCTCCTGTCATAGATTTGCGAACCGATGGCGTAGTTTTCAACTTTCAAATGTGCTTGTAAAACTGAAAAATGCGTTTTTGAATTGAATTGATGACCCCTAAGTTTGATAACAGTGTCTCCTTTTCATTCTGTAGAGAACACGATAAAGATTTTTAAATGTTTAGAAAGTCATGCCAGAAATATTATGTTACCTACGCAGGTACGAACAAAGGACAGCGTATTCGAGAGCGTACCGCACCTTATCAAATACCACTGCAGCAACGAGTTGCCGATAGTGTCCGCTGATTCAGAGCTGCTACTACGAAAACCAGTACCGCGCCCGGCTTCTTGAGGACGCGCCCGGCTTCTTGAGGACGCGCCATAAATAAATAAATGACCGCAATGCAAATAAACCTTAACCACATAGACGGATTTCGCGCGTCAAAACGCGAGTTTAAGAAGTGAATGGTATTACAAAATTTGATAAAACTTTTTTGTGGTATCTTAAAGGTTAAGAATTCCTTGTGTTGTTTTAAGCGTGTGACGGAACCTTTCGCGAAAGAAAGTCAGGTTTTTTTATTGCATAACCTCAGATATCTAAAGATCTATAAACATGAGTGATTTTAACAAGTTATTGCGGGATTTTCAATAGGGCAAGTATAGTAATGAAAATGGCAGCGCCCCTGACCGCAAAGAAGCACCACGTAGGTAAATAAGAAAACAATACATTAAATGCTTTGAACTTTGAATCCAACCACTGAGATTCAAGCAGCAGCTATTGTTTGTGGAAAAACAATAAAAGCCAAGTTTATTGTGTTACAGCAAACAAACTTCACGTTTTTCTTTTGAGTAGTCCTACAAGTGTTATTAAAGATAAGTATTGAAAACAAATCGTAGGTAGCCCTCGAAAAACACTTCATAACTTAAAACAATACATACAAAATAATTTAAAGGATTTTGAGCAGTCGCTTCACCGCGCGGCGTAGGCATCCGCTTTAGTAACTGTGCTTTGTTTTCGTTAATTCCTATATGAGAGATGATAAAACATAGTAATTACATTTGCAAACAGTGGGCCTACAACAAAAAATATAAAAGAAAATCGAAATATAATGAACGGCTTCCGATTAGTTAGCAAACTTAACCAAATGGCTGCGACAAGCATAATGTCTAGGAAAATGTATAGCTTTTACAATAAGTATTTGTAACACTTTCAAAATAAATCATATAAGTACGTTTACATTCTAAATGTACTACGAAAACATAAGACTTTAATAAATAGCCCCAAGTTTTTATAATTTTAAGAGCCTAAATTATTATTTTTATAGCTTTATCCTTCAAGTATCAAATCAAATGAAAACATCGTTATAATTAAATACCTAAGATAATGTGTCACTGTGCTATTTTATGAGCAATATATTTATGCACGCCATGTAATGGAAAGCTAAAAAATGTTTCCAATAATTTTTGACTTTAGCGCTTTTGACATGTAACAAATTATTTGGGAGAATTTGATAGTTTTGTTGACTGAAGTGATGAGTATAATAAAATTTGTGTATATCAATTAGCTAATCGTTGGCATTCAAAATGCATTTAGTTTGAATAGTTTCGATGTTACAGTGTTAAGTGACATAAAGGCGTTAAAAATGAGTGCATCGTTCTGTTCAAAGGAGTAGACAAAATATTTGTATTTTTAAGTATCTAATAAAAATGCCCCAAAATGCTAATATAAGTTTGTGATTCGCGTTTTGTTGTGGACAACTGAGGAACTCAAAATTACGCGTGGCACGATACGCGCTTGGCCGAAATTTTACAAACCAATTATATGACCGAAAAATAGAAATTCGCTTAACTTTTGAGAATGTTTTGTGAACATCGAGGATAACATTAAGTAGTACTTGATAAAGTACCAACGCTACTCTCACTATTTGTCGTCTAGAATCTCGTGTGAATGACTGTTGTTATCATTATTATTAAGAAATATGTAGCCAAATAGGTGTTAATCGTGCGATTTTATCAATTTTGCACTAATGGTTATTGTTTGTAACGTTGATTTATAATTGAATCACCGTTAAAGTATATCGCGTAGTGTTATTTAATAATATGCATTTATTGTAATTTCAATCTTCTTTTTTCGATTGTTTACTGAATGTATGTTAAGGAAATAATAATTGTTTACCAAAGCCATCATTGTCATTAATGAGAAATTGTGATTTTATATTATTATTGAGGGACTATGCACAATACCATCCTGAAGTACGAGTACCAACACAGGCAGGGCCGGATTTAGAGGTGTGGGGGTACGAAGGTCAACGGAGGAGTGGGGGCCCCTAAATCAGGTCCGTATTACTCACTTACGTTTGAAGCCACTGGTTTTGTTATCTCTGTTGTGGGGGCCCCTGGGCTACAGCCTCGCCTGCACAGGATACCCACGTAAAGATAAATTAATATAATTGACGCTATATTATTGTCGTGCAATTATCTAATGCCAAAAAGGTAATTACTTCAGTAAAGGCTATTTTGCTAAGCTCCTATGCATTTTACATTGATTCTAATTTATTAAAATGACGTTTTCTACTGCGCTCTCTGATATTGATTGAATAATGGTTTATCAATTAAATACAACTATATTTAATACCCCTAGATACACCACGTGCGCTAAAAATGTGTCTCAATCAAGAGGTGCTTGAACACGACTCAAGCACTTTTTGGTTCACAGTAAACGTGTGAACAGTGGACGTTGAAAAGTCAACCTGCTACAGAGCTCCGGAAAAAATGCGAAAAAAATACTTATAGTACGTAGTCGTTTTTTTACAGCCTTCAAATAATGCCTTATGTTGATTTTGACTACGCGATCATCTTACGGAGCTCCGTGAATAGTTATACGTACCTTTTGGACAGGTTTCGGCCACTATTTTGTTCGTGATGTTGTATCTAGGTATAGGTATTAAATATCGTTGATTAAATACCCCATTCATGGAATGAAGAGCCGAATACTTAGCCGGTAATTGATAAATTGACCAAATTCACATGACGTAATTAACATTTTCCTGTTAAATATATATTACTGTGAAATAGGCCTTAAATGTACTTTAAATGAAATCGAGAATGAAATAACATATAGGTGCTATAATTGCTTACTTAAAATTATATTATTATTAAATAATAAGTTTTAAACAATATTGTACATAAATTATCCATCATATAAATATATTTTATTTTAAGACTGTTCTTTGGAGCTCTAATTTCATATTAGGTACTTTGTGTCATTGCCAATGCTTTAAATTTAAACGAATTTTATTGTATTAAATAATACATATAATTTCTTTTATTTAATTTTACATTTTGACTCGATTAAGAACGAATGCGAGTGTTGCATGCTGTATAATGTAATGCACTTTACCTATTATCTAACTAGCATGGAGTCTCAACCAAATAAAATGCAATTGTAAATTGATTATTTATTTGAATTTTCCTCCTTGCCTTATCTACACGGCTGAAACTCTACTATCGGTTTCCGACAAAAGTGAATAGCTTCATAAAATGATCTGCCACTCGTGAAAGTAAAACTTCATAATGATAGCTTATAAAGCAAAAATATATAGAACAAGACTTGAGTCACCCTTGGAGCTGGCGTTACAAATAATAAAAAGGTGTTTAGTTTAAGATAACGCTTTGTGTTTTTCATTAATGAATTAGTGATCCCGTCATTTTGATATCAAAATAGCGGGGCCACATTTTTAGTTAAATATTTTGCAATTTTTTGAGTTTAAAATATAAAATAGCAGAAATTCTGCATTAAATCCCAATTACATTATAAGAAAACCTGGCAGGTCCCGTCATATTAACGTTCATGTCATTACTTTGACTATGATTGATTTCTGCGTGAACTGCTAAACCAAAACTAAACGCCTAAATAAATTGTAAGAGCCATAAAATTATACTTGACATATTCTTAATAATCCTTTTTGTACAGGCGCTTTTCTGAGCGGTCGTCCGCGTTTAAAGTTCTTTGAGAAACCCACAGGAACCTAACGTTTTTCCGTCTGAATCCAAATCATAAATTATATTCGTACCAAATTTCACCCAAATCCGTACAGTAGTTTTTGTGTGATTGAGTAACTAACAAACAAACTTTCAGTTTTATAATATTAATAGTATTTCAGTTATAACATTTTAAAATAGAGTGTGTTTACTCATGGTTAATTCAGAACCCGCCACGTGTTTTCTATTTAAATTGGAATTTAAAAGAAGAAACTAAGTGGTTGACCTAATATAACCGCTGGGTCTAGCTAGACTTTAGACTCTAACTTTGGCACGTGGGTTCCTTATGGGGTCTAGGGAAGTGGGGTGGGGCGGATAGCGAAGGGTGCGGGTTCGAGTCCCGTCCGCTGCCTGGTCCGCGTGGATTTTTTTCTAGTAAACTTTTCTTTAGATTTAAACATCTAGCAGTTAAATGCTTAAAAATAAATAAAAAACATAAGGAGATGAAAGTTTGTATGAAAAATCTTATTCCTTCAGTTAATAGACTTCATACTTGGCTCGAGTAGTTATCTAAATTAATTAGTTTTGTCATTTTTTAACTACCGGGAGGTATTGGCATGGTTTAAGTTTTTATGTGGATAACTTCTTACGCGCATTTCCATTAACTCGAAATTTGTATTTTTTCTTAAGACCAGAAAAAAGAATACCATATAACAGTGATTTCGAAAATCTACTAAGAGGGCACGGACCTGAAAAAAAGACGGACGTAATATCAAAGGCAAATCATGTGAAGCATGACAATGACATGTAGGTCAGACAAAATCGTGTGTTGTACACTACCTACACTCACACTAATGCACCAGGTCGGACAATCCGCAATCCGCTGCCATTTGAACTCGCGTGACAGCGCCAGTCACACGTTCAATTGCTCCGATATATTTTTAAAAAAATGCCGTCTTGTGTGGTGAAATCTTTTAAAAACTACACGAGTAAATTTGAAAAGTCACAAGGAATCACCTACTATGCTTAAGTATTGACGATTCTTGATATTTTTTTTATATTATATTTTATTTACAAGGATAAAAATTGTAAACAAAAATACAACTGTGTGGCTACTTTATTTACGGGAAATTTTCCCTAAAAGTAGGGAAATTTGTATTTCTTGCATTTGTGACTAGGCAAGATAAGATTTCGTAAATTTTTAGGGTTCCGTATCCCAAAAGGAAAAGAAAAGAAGCCATATTATTCATAGAATATTTTATATAAATTATAGTCTTGTCTTCTTTCTAATAGGTTTCCTAGAAATAGAAACCGTAGAGATGACTGGGTTTGAATTATTCGATACTGCAAAGGGGATAACAATTAGGGACCCATCACCTTCCAGTACTGTGTGCAGTGCACACGTTGTTTGGTTTTCGTTCAAACCTGAGCCTGTAAAGAAGAAATATTAAAAACTAGCGGTCCGCCCTCGCTTCGCTTCGGTGTAGAGCTGAATTGTTGTATTATACACAATGACATTCATCTATGATTTTTCTTATACCTGCATGCAAAGTCTCAGCCCGATCGGTTTAAAATTGACAAAGTTCCATACAAACTTTCATTCCCTATTTTATCCCCTTGGGGGTAGAATTGATAAAATCCTTTCTTAGCGGATGCCTACGTCATAACATCTACCTGCATGCCAAATTTCAGCCCGATCTGTCCAGTGGTTTGGGCTGTGCGTTGATAGATCACTATGTCAGTCAGTCAGTCACCTTTGAGTTTTATATATATAGATACAGTTGAAACCCGTTAACAGAACTACTATACAAATAAACTTTTGAAACCAAATTACGATAACCAAAATTATTACAAAACTAGAGGTCGCCCGCGACTTCGTCTGCGTTAACTTAGTTTCTTGAAAATCCCTCTGGAACCTAACATTTTTTCGGGATAAAAGTAGCCTATGTGTTAATCTAGGGTATCAGCTAACTCCATACCAAATTTTATTAAAATCGCTCCAGCCGTTTAGACGTGAAGAAGTAACAAACATACACACTCACATACTCACAAACTTTCGCATTTATAATATTAGTGTGATGAATTACAGGCAGGACTTGAACCTGCATTTTCTGCTGTCTGGGTGGATGCACTAATTGCTATGCTACCGAGAACTTAATGATCATGACGAATTTCTTCTTGTATTTCTTAGGCTGCACGGTAGTGCCATTTCTTCGCATTGTAGGTAAACCACGATGTCAAATGAAACCATAGATATAGGATGTAAAGATAGACAGAGTACCTATCGCTACTGTTCCAAAAAAATATCTATAAAAGTGTCGAGTTAGTTTCACAGAATTTCATAATACATTTTAACTCAGTACGACTTGACAGGGCGCTGCGGCTCTTGCTAAAAATATATTATTAGACGAAAGGTACATCATGTTGCGTCTCTTTCTACGTTATAGGATTGGCATGATATTTCTTTTCCTCACTCTGTCAGTCTTTAAATACCTACTCAATCTATGAATGAAATACTTACATTTGAAAGAAGAAATAGCAATATTAGTCTATTATATTTTTATTTTAAGCATTAATCTGCGCGATTTATGTATATTAATGTATGTTATTAACCTCATACATAATATTAAGACACTAACATTTATATGTAAACAATAAAGTTTCTTTTTACATAACAAGTTACATAATCTATCTCGGTGTTCCTAAAAATAATTTGATAGACCGTTTAAATTGCTGAAAAATCAGGAGCTCACAACGAGTAAAACACGTGGTAAATATCCCGTTTTTATAATATATATTTGATTACATAATGTTAACAATGTTTTAGTTTGGGAGATTTAAAAAGTAGGGAAATTGATGATTTACCCGACAACCCTGAAATCACGCACACACTGTAAGCGGGCGGCCATTTGCATGCTTCACTCGAGATAAGACGAGGTTACGTCCGTCTTTTTTTCAGGTCCGTGTAAGAGGGTAAAAAGGGGATGAATGTGTGTACGAAAAGTCTAATTTTTTGAGTTAATAAATTTAAAACTCGGTACGAATACTTAGGTAAATAAATTCTAAAGTTTACCAATTTTGGTTTGCCTAAACTAACCCTAAAGGTGATTGGAGAGTGCCAAAGTTTTCATATGGTCAAATTTTCACGCGGATTTCAATTAATTCTAAACTCTGTACATATTTATATTTGAGACCTAAAATAAAGAATAACATGCATCGGGGTTCTTCGAAAATCTACCCTTAACGGAGTGAAACGGAATTTTAAATTTTATTGCGGGGCTTTACTAAATCGGAAAACGGCTGAATGGATTTGGATAATTTTTGCACACATAGTTTATTACCTCGATCATGTACCAATCCTGGGTTTAGAAAAAGTTAACGCGAACGAAGTCACAGGCGGCCGCTAGTAACCGAATTGAGGTACAGCCATTTCTGTGTAGAATATTTTTGGAAATATACGAGTGTAGAATTTTAGTATAAAATAGTGGAAATATTGTATAAATCATTAAAAAAAACCCGGTTCCTCGTGGTCTTACTAATTTGTCTTACTAGTGGGACCACGAGGAAGCCCTATTCCAAGTAGGACTCCCAGGATTCCCAGTAGGACAAATTATTAAATGATAAATTTTCATGTTTCACTCTGCAAGGTTTCAAGCATGACTCAAACCAGCATTCGCCCGGTCAGCGGAAGACGCAGGTTCGAGTTCTGCCTAAAACCTTGACCGAGTTGATTATTCTCAAAAAAAATCTTTTTTTTACACACCGATAGGACTACGAGAAACTACATATAAAAATTTAACACCGCGGTAGGACAAATTAGTAGGACCACAAGTAAACACACTGGCATAGTTCAGATTATGTAAATTGTACTTGCAGGAATCCTCACAAATGCGGCTCAAAAAACTAGCTAGAGTCTGTACGGAAAGAGAATGGGATTTAGATTGGAGGGCGCTGTAGTGCTTTTCTACCGTATTTCTAAGGTTTTACCCCTTTTAGACATGATTTGATTGAGGAGCTCGATGGCGCAAGTGGTTAGCGCGTTCGGCTGCGATTGTTGAAGTTAATCAACTTTCGCAGTGGTCGATCATTGGATGGGTGACCAAAAAAAAATTACTATCTCGAGCTCCTCCGTGCTTCGGAAGGCACGTTAAGCCGTTGGTCCCGGCTGCATCTGCAGTCGTTAGCACCCACCAATCCGCACTGGGCCCGCGTGGTGGGTCATGGCCCAATCTCCCTATTCCATCCATAGGGAAGACCTGTGCCCCAGCAGTGGGGACATTAATAGGCTGATGATGATGAGACATGATTAAATTCAAAAAGCCGCAAATCACAACAAGCAAATCCGTATCAATACAAAACTTTGACGTTTTACAGATTACTGGGTTTGATTGCCAAATAAAAACCTTAATGTTCCGTTTTTCGCCACGCCCATTCTCTTTCTGCACACTCTGGGTGTATTCCGAAATATAAACCAGTACGCTGGCCAGTGTAATGGCGTCATGATTTCGACGCCATATTGCAGTGGTGTAGTAGTTGTCAATATGGCGTCGAAATCATGACGTCATTACCACTGGCCAGCGTACTGGTGTTTGATTCGGAATACACCCTCTATTCGGTTATAAGCCTCACTCTTCCAATATCCGAAAATTATTTGTCTTAGTCACTTCTCAACCGCTATCCACCCCACTACTAAGTGCAGGACTCTTCAAATCCACCGGATCTCGGAGTCTGCATCCATTTAGTTAGACGTTAGACATTATGCAAACATAATCCAAGTTAGGTTTGTGTGTTTAAACCTTTTTTATCCAAAGGATCAGAGGGTTCAATATAGAAAATAAAAGCATATTACCGTACTTAATTGTTTGTTTATTAAAATTTAATATTATAGTATAAACAGTAAGGTCATACATGGCAGTGATGTTATAATTACTTATAATTATCGGCTCACGCTATACACAATTCGAGCAACTCTTCCACGTTTCAAACCATCTCTCTCCCAAGACACCGTAGAAAGAAATACAATCAACATTGAAATCTGACTAACACATTATAAAACTTCAAGAGAAACAACAAACGTTGGTGTCGCGAGAGAGAGTCCGTCTTTACTGCCAACCCTGAGCTTACTCAGCCTAATTCATTCTAATTTAGCCAATCCTCGAAACATTTCCTACCACAATCAATAATTTACACCAAAAGGAAAAGAAAAACAGTCAAACCTTAGTTACCAACAAATAGCTAAGTCAATTTCCATTAATTAATAAACAGGCACAGATACGAGAAGATGGGTGTAAAACGGTACAATGTCCAATAGCTTGCCTATACGGGTATAACATTCTTTGGGACTGCAGCACTGTTCGCCAGACCTTGCTAAAACGCAAGGCCTCTCATTCCGTGCGATACTCTTAAAACTACAATTAACTATGATACTACTAAAAAAATGAAACTAATGTCACAGTATGATAAAAATAAATAAATATGCCTCTATACAAAAATAACACATTTATATCATGGTGAACACCTGGAACTCTCGAGATCTCGGCTGGCCGACCTCCGAACTGCGATACCCGAATACAATACATCTCCGACAATTTTATACATAAACACAACGAGAGGTCGCCGTCATTCCTCACGAGTTTAACTTAAACGGTCATTATCGCCAAGAATTGACTTCTTTTTATTATACAATTATCATCTCGCACAATTACAAAAGTGATCGAGGAGGAGTGTAAACGCGTCATTGTAAAGATTACCGTATTACAAAATTACATTATTTTTATCACCAAAAATATTCGCATCACGAGACAAACTTTTCAATCTACATATTCTCATGCCGCGTATCAAAAATAGATCGCGATGATCATCTACTATTCAATCGAATTTGGTCGAAGACACGTACAAAAGGTCGGGCGAGCTAGCTAGCGTCTAATACTGCATCGGGGAGATCGCGGCGGCGTCCGCGCCAGGGCGACGGGCGGCGCTCTCCAACCAAATAAATATAGGGAGGTACGTGGGGAGGGGGCGCCGCGCGCTCAGTCGGGCGTCGGCAGGAGTGGGGGCGGAGGAGGCGGCGCGGGCGCGGGCGTGGGAGCGGCGGGGAGGGCGGCCGGAGGAGCGGCGGGGGGCGGCGCCGGCCGGTGCAGCGTGAACGCGTCGTACACCTGCGCCAGCTCGTCCATGTGGTGCTCCTCGAGGCACAGGAAGCCGTGCAGCGCGGGCGAGGCGCGCCGCGCGCACGCCAGGCAGTGCACCACGTGCCGGCGCTCGTGCTCGCGCACCAGCAGCGCGTGCCACACCTCGCGCTCGCACACGCCGCAGTAGTGGCTGGCCTCGCCGCGCGCGCGCCCGTGGAACCGCACCGGCACGCCGCGCGCGCGCACCGCCGCCAGCGTGCCGCCCGCCGCGCGCAGCGTCTGCGCCAGGCACGTGCGCATCGCGCGGTGCAGCCGTGGGTCAGATACGCGGATGTTGCGCGCCAGGTTCCACGACAGGTGCACCATCGGCACTATCGACTTGAAATTCTGCACCTTGTTCCACTCGTACCGCTCGAGCGCCAGCGAGTACTGGCGCGCGGTGAGCGGGCCCACGTTCCAGGCGATGTTGTTGCACCAGCCGGTGGCCTGCACCCAGTGCACGCAGCCGGCGTTGACCCACACGAGGTCGCCAGGCCGCTGCGTGAAGCGGTACACGGGCACGCCGTGCGCGCGCAGCTCCTCGGGATCCGGCCACCACGACCCGTGCAAGTACGACAGGCCGTGCCGCTCGCACAGCTCGCGCACGCCGCCCCAGTACGCGTCCGGCACGCCGAACCACTCGCAGTCGCCGGGGCCGATGTTGATGTTGATCGAGCAAAAGTTGTTGTTCTCCTGGTGGCCGGGCGTGCGGCTGCCGGGCACCTTCATGTACAGCTGCACCGTGTTCATGCCGAGGATCACGTGGCCGACGTGCGAGAGCATGTTGGCGGCGGAGGCGACGCGCGCGAACGCGGGCAGCTTCTGGAGCTCGGTAAGCTGGGGGCGCCACTTGCGCTCGTCGGAGAGGTCGACGTTGGTGCCGAAGCGCAGCATACGCGCGGTGCGGCGGCGCTTCACAGGCCCGGAGCCGGACTCGCGGCCGTCCGAGTCGGAGAGCGCGCCGCCGGCGGAGGGAGCGCCTGTGCCCGAGGCCGCGGTGCCGCCCGCACCGCGCTCGCGCTCCTCCCGCAGCGAGTCCTGGAAGGAGCCTGCCTGGTACTGCGCATACTTGCGCACGGTGGTGTGCGAGCGGTGCGAGGCGCACGCCCACACGCGCCGCCGCCCCGTCGGGTCCCAGTTCTCGTCGGCGGACTGCATCAGCTGCGTGCGCACCTCCACCGCGTGGTCGGGCCACGCCTCCACCAGCGTTTTCGTGGAGAACAGGCCGAGGTCAAGCTTGAGGGCGGCGGTAAGGCCGCGGACTACGGCGATCGGGTGCTTCAGGCAGAAGTCCTGCAGCTGGGGGGAGAAGGCGTCGCGCTTGGACTCCACGTACACGTAGGGCGCGGGAGGAGCCAGTTGTTCGGGCGTGAGACGCGGCGGAGGGACAGGCGGCGGTTCGGGCGGGCCGCAGCCGTCGCCGAGCACCGACCACGATGTAGGCGGACCCGCGTTCTCCCTAAGCGAACAGAAAAGAATTTGTAAGCATAATATAACACTTTTACAAGAATTCGAAAAAATAAATAAAAACCACACGTCTCATGTTCGGATTCGGAACTAAACAGTTACCGATACATATACTTACTTGCAAACATCAAGAATCTGCTTGGAGTTCATGCCAACATGAAACGTGACAGGTTTGAGCGGGTCTGTCTTCAAAGGCTCTAGTTTCACCACCGGCTGCCGCCCGCCCAGCACCGCGTCACTGCTCGCGTTCGCAATGCTGCCCACATCCGCTACGACAATAGAGAGATAAAATTAATATCAGACAAATAGTTACTATACAATATTGATAAATAAAAGTCAACTGTAAGTGTACCTATACTAAATAAATAAAAAGGGTGCACCAATAACCTGTATCTTGCTTAACAATAATCATAAAGTGTACCTGAATATTAATAATAAACAATGCTTCATGAAACTGTAAAATATAATAAAAAAAAAGTAATGTTAAGTAAGATTAAGTGTCGCCGCACACGGGCCACACGCCACAGCCACAAACGCCGCAACGAAAAGCTAGAAGCGGCTACTAAAGTGGCCGAAGCGCGCGACACCGGCCGACTAAGGTAAGAGAGAGAGGGGTGGGGAATCGCGCGAGTGACGTGTGGCGGCGTTTTGTATCGGCGCATTAAGTGGCCGGTGCGGGCCACAAGAAGCGAGCATCGACGATTTGTAGCGTGTGGTGGCCATTGGCGTGCCGTGTGCGGCGAGTCAATATAAAATGTATGAAAACTACAAGAAATATGCCGGTGGCGGCGTTTTGTGGTTGTGGTCGGTGGCCCGCGTGCGGCGACACTAAGTGAGGTCCTGCTACTTTGCAATCCTAACTTACTAAAATAATTAAATAATTGCAAAAGTGAGTTTGATTGCTTGTTTGTTTGTTACCGAATCACGCAAACACTACTTAACGGATTTTGATGAAATTTGGCACGCATATAGTTTATAACCTGGGTTAAGACATAGTATACTTTTTGTCCTTGAAAAATTTTTAAGTTCCTGTGCTCAAAAATAAGTGATTTTAACCTGTATGTGTTTCCACAATATTCGTAGATAAAAGTCCTTTATAGAATAGCAATGAATGGTACGAGCACCAACAAAATAAGTCTAAAATAATTACATTTTTCTCCCAGTCCACCACTACGTAATCGACTTATAAATAAACCACAAATTTTATACAATAAAATTATGTAATGAACAGTGTAGCGTAGCATTATATTTTCCCCCATTAAGAAAAGCAACCGAAATCAACAGTCAAGGTCATTGATAAATCATTCGTCAAGTACCTACGTCATTATTATAATTATTAATTATATTTTGAACTTACTTTCCGTTAGTTTCTTACTTTTTGAATAAAATACCATTTTCACAATAATTTTAATGCTTATTTGACGCCGCCGTCAAATTCATAAAAAGCAAAGAGATTATGTTGTCACAACATTATTGTACAAAGATGTTATTTTTATAAAGAAGTTCTTAATCTTCTACGTTTAATTTACTTTTTAAATTGAGATATTAATAATTGGGTTTAAATAACTATGTAATAATTGAATTCGTACTCGAAAATGAATCTACACAGTCATGTCATTGATATAATATATTAATAAATTTAAAATAAAATTTTCTTACATCTGTTTACATTATAGCCAACCAGCAGATAATCCACTGTCGGTAACTTATGTAATAATTATTAGTATTTTATTTAAAATGTTAACATTACTTCCATACAACAAGTTACCCTAACTTTGGTCCAGTTTGCGTTAATCGATAAACCCTTTGCACTCTCCCTATGCATTATCCCTATTTAAATAACATACACATAACTATAATATTCAGTAACGAATAGGGGATCGCAGATATTAAGTTGACAACAATTTGCATAAAGAAACAACATTTGGCAAATATTTTGGTGTTCAAAATAGCAACGAATTCCTTGCCACTAATTGTCACCAAGACTTCTCCAACAGTCTCTAGTAATCTTTCTCGGTGATAACTTTTGAGGCTTATACAGCTGGTACAGTGTTTTTTAATTCCGTGAAGTTTGTTTAGATATGTATATGAACACTAGCTGACTCGGCGAACTTCGTACCGCCCAAAAGTAATAATTTGCAATAAATTAAAATTGCGACTATAATTTGAGATTTAAACTATCCTATCTCTCAAGTTGGATCGAACTGCACATGGTGTGCGAATTTTATTATAATCGGTTCAGTGGTTTAGGAGAACATTGTGACACGAGATTTATATATATTAAGATATTGTTGCTGTAATTATTTGTTAAAAAGATGGTATCAACATTCTTGTCATTTTAAATAAAAGCTTTAATCCAGTTTCTAAAATAACTTTATCAGTGTCAAACTGGAATCAGTGACCTTCTAGGTCATTGCTTAAATATGATTTTGTGTTTAATTGGATTTAAGAATCCTAGCTAGGCCTAGCTATACCACCATGAATACAGAATTATTAGTTTTCTGACTCTCCATTTAAATTTTATGCTTTAGTTATTTTATATGTAGACTGGAAGTATTATTAGCGAGCTTACATTGTCATCAATTGTAAACGACCCCTCAATCTAAACCCTAACTTAGGTCCCACATTTTTAAATGACTATTCCCCATTCTCGTATCTCCCCCATGTGAATCAAAACCATATAAACATATACATGCGCATATGTCATTACCAAAATTTACTATCAAGCAACACTTTGATGGGTAAGCATTTGATTAAAATGGTACAAGATACTAAAGCGTCTGCAAAAAAGTAACAGGAATACTGCGTGCCCTTTATCGCCTGAAAAATTTTTTGCCGGTCAATATCTAGGCAATGCTTGTGCAAACCTTAATATTCCCCATAATCGACTATGGTGATGTGTGCTACCTCGACCTGAATGCAGATCTACTCAAAAAGCTTGATCGACTTCAGAATAACTGCATTCGATTCGTTTTTAATCTTAGAAAATATGACCATGTGTCCGCATACCGATCTCTCTTAAAATGGATGCCCATTAGGCAACGCAGATGTATGCGGGCTCTGACCACTTTGTTCACTTTGCTGGATTCTCCAAATGCCCCCCCTTATCTCACTTCTCAGTTTCAGTACTTATGTACCTCTCATACTAAAAATCTTAGATCTTCTTTCAATCGTTTACTAGTCGTTCCATCTCACAATTCCGATATCATTCACTCTTCCTTCTTCGTGAAAACTATACTTTTGTGGAACGAACTCCCGCTAGACATTAGAATGTCCCCCAACAAACATTCCTTTAAAACCAAGCTGCGAACCTTTTTATTGGAACAAGCGTTTCGTTAAGTAGTTTGTCGTCATGTATGTATTATATGAAGTATATATGTATGTGTATGTATATGTTTAGTTATATAATTTGTATATATTTACTTATTTATGTATGTTATTGTTATATATTTATTATGAGTAATATTTCTTTAAATGTGATCTCCACCTCAGTTGTGCACCCTGCCACTTAAATCTCCACAACACCCTATGGTTGACTGGTAGAGAATGCCTACGGCATTAAGTCCGCCATTGTACAGTATGTGCATGAAGAATAAAATAAATAAATAAATACTTAAATAAAGTTAGTCAGACATCCGTGATTCATTATTGTACGTACGTGTTGGTATTCTTATTATACTACTGTGTGACCTTAATAAAACATTATGTATACATTATTAGAGAAGCCATGTTATGTATAATTTAATAAAAAATAATGATTAGCATCTACAAATACATACCGACAAGAACTAATGATCGACACTCCCCTCTGTGTGAATCGTGCCATTATTATCATTGATCACAGAAAAAAATATCGCTCTTATCGATAATTGGCCACTACCTTAATTTAGTCACTAGCAGACTTTTCGAGATTATCCACAAAATAGACATAAAAACTGTGGCAATAAAACATCACGAGAAGTCACTATAACCTTTAGTGAATTCTGCGATAAAGTCGTTCTCAAATTATGGCCCGTGACCATAGGAAATAGGGATTCATTATTATTATTTTATTTTTATTTTTGCACAAACAGTCATTACATAAATCGATATTAAGTACAAATATAACATTATTTTATAGACAAGGAGTGCGCGAAAACTATTATTACATTTTAACAAAAAAATATTAAAGGAGGGTAGCTTGTTGAAAGTTGGAAAAATACCAGTTTAAATTTAAGAAATTGCTTTGCGTGTATAAAATATTTATGTTTAATACACCTCTAAAGCATGTTAAATTCTTCTTTGTGCACAGTTTTCCCAAAATTTCACGCTTTAAGCCTTGTAGTGAGATATTAAAAAGATCAATCGAATTAATTCACTGTTACTTAGATTTAACGAGCGGCCTATTAAACTATTTCGTGTATAGTTTTTGTGAAGGATTGGCGGTACGAATGTTTTAAGAATTCGATTACAACGAGCGGGGAGGCGTCTTTCTGGTATGAACTTTATTTTTGAGAGCAATGTAGGACTATCTAGAATACTATTAATAATTTTGTACAAAAATATTATAAGACTTTTTTTCTGTGATAAAAATAAGGGTGGGTGTCATTGGTGCCACCTTACATAATGAATATTTTACAAATCCAGAATACTGTCAATTTATCCTCAATAAATACCCTACTTTTATAAATCACAGAAGTTAATTTATAAATACTATATAAGTGGCAAAGAAATATTTATACTCAGTGGCAAGCCAGGTCATTGGTCACGCAATCGTGAGTGTCATACAAGGGCGACAGGAAATTCAATGTAAATATCTTAATCCATGTCAATAATTTCAAAAAGATTATAATATCATTGTCATGGCCGTATTTTTTATATAACTCGGGTATACGACATGATAAAGAATTATTGTTTAACAAGTTTCAATTCTGGAAAGATCAAAATGTCTTCGATTTATAAACATGTGAAAGAAAGTTACAAAAACTATATCGACGGGTAGGCCCAGACTACGAAAGCCATTCTGTCTTCTGCTAAAAATGGGCTTGTGGTTTTTTTCATTTGTGTTTAGATGTACTTGTGTTATACACGTTGTTAATCATCCATAGTACAGGTGCTGCCTAGATTTTTTCTCTATTGGTTTTTTGATCGACATATTCGGTCATGCCAGCTCCATCTAAGCTAAATCTTATTTACTCAATCGCATTCTCAACTCAACTTAATTGCATAATTAACAACTTCTTTAACGTCGTCTGGAGATGGCCTAACACAAAAAAAATAAAAAATAAATTCTTTTAGGTTGGAATTAAACATTTGATACGAGTTTACATTTATTCAAAAGGCACTTACTGTTACTAGCCGGCTCCTTCTTGATGTCCGGTTGAGAATCTGAGAACCTCTTCAGCAGATCTTCGGCGAGCGACTCCGCGATGTCGCCGCCGGTCGAGTTACTACTACCTTCGCTCTTGGTCACCTGTGAAGTAAAAAAATGACGTCACTAAAAATTCGAACTAACATTTTCAAAATTGTCCCTACAACCTGCCGCCTTTGAAATTTGGGATGTCGCTAATGTAGAACTAAGTACGAACCGAACGCGCTCTCGCTGCTTGTGCGAGACGATACTGGGTCAGTAGTTGCTGCATCATCGCCTGTGAACAAAAACAAATTAGTAAGATATAGTATTTTAGGTAGAACCAAAAGCTTTACTTAGAAAAGACAAATTAATTTAATGCTTCATTAAGTCACGTATTGTCTACTTATATTGTTAAAGCTAAGAAAGTGATAGCAGCAACTTTAGTCAAAGTTAAAAGTTAAGCCTTCTCAGAGTGTCTCTGTAAATAATATATCTTTGACTGATGGCAGTTTTAATTGCTTGAAATGAATTTACTTTATTCAAATTGACTTATTAAAAGCTCTTTTGAAGCGTCCAATATTTTTTCCTACCAGGTATTCAGGACATTTTTAAGCTGATGATAAGAATGGCCGTAAGAATTTCATCAACATTTAACAGAAGTAGCAACATTTACATAAAATCATGTCGCTTATTAGCCTAATTGAATTCCTGTGTGATATGTAAAATCAATAATTTTCATGTAAATGTTTATGGGTAAGCAGTTTTATTATTTATAAGCCAAATTAGGTACTTGTTGGTGCGGCGAGAGGTTATGCGAATTCCGTTGCAAGTACTGCAACGTCTGCAGTTGGTGCGCAGTGAGCTGGGGCGGGTCGTCGCGCTTGCCCGGGTACGGCGGCGGCGCGGACTTGGGCGCGCGCGACGACATCTCCGCAGAGATGGGCAGGTTCCACGCCTCTTCGATGGACGGCAGCTGGCGGCGTCTGATCAATACCGAGGGACACAATTACGAGTGATTCGCGCTATCTTAAATCAACGGACGGTAAAGATATGGACGCGTGCGACGACATCTCCGTAGAGTTGGGCAGGTTCCACGCCTCTCGATGGACGGCAGCTGGCGGCGTCTGATTAATACCGAGGGACACATTTACGAGTGATTCGCGCTATCTTAAATCAACGGATGGTAAAGATATAGACGCGCGCGACGACATCTCCGCAGAGATGGGCAGGTTCCACGCCTCCTCGATGGACGGCAGCTGGCGGCGTCTGATCAATACCGAGAGACACATTTAGGAGTGATACGCGCTATCTTAAATTAACGGACAATAAAGTTATGGGCGCACACGACGACATCTCCGTAGAGTTGGGCAGGTTCCACGCCTCCTCGATGGACGGCAGCTGGCGGCGTCTGATCATTACCGAGGGACACATTTAGGAGTGATTCGCGCTATCTTAAATTAACGGACAATAAAGTTATGGGCGCACACGACTACATCTCCGTAGAGTTGGGCAGGTTCCACGCCTTCTCGATGGACGGCAGCTGGCGGCGTCTGATCAATACCGAGGGACACATTTACGAGTAATTCGCTCAATCTTAAATCAACGGACAATAAAGATATGGACGCGTGCGACGACATCTCCGCAGAGATGGGCAGGTTCCACGCCTCCTCGATGGACGGCAGCTGGCGGCGTCTGATTAATACCGAGGGACACATTTACGAGTGATTCGCGCTAACTTAAATCAACGGACGGTAAAGATATGGACGCGCGCGACGACATCTCCGCAGAGATGGGCAGGTTCCAAACCTCCTCGATGGACGGCAGCTGGCGGCGTCTGATCAATATTTACGTTATACACACACCCTCACTTTTTCATTATATACACATATCTTGAACCATAGAATTAAATCAGTGTAAAATTACTGCCAAACAGACAATGGATTTAATAAAGCTTTACTTCTTTTTTATAAACAATATATTTGAGTGCGTTTGACCACAATCGCACCCGATTTTAAGCAACGACGTGGTCTAAGCTGGAGCACGGAGGCTCAAATAAAGCCGATTTACTCATGCTTTAAAGATCTCATATAATAGATTTTATGTATCGGGGAATAATACTTACTTTCCAGTAACTGAAGGCATCGGTGCGTGCGCTAAGTGTGCTCTGAGGAAAGCAAGCCTCTGCCTCAGAGCGGCGTTGGAGGCTGTAGCGGCAGCCCCGCCGTTAGTATAACATGCAAAGGCGTCCCTTGGCATCTGGCAGCTCTCGTATAAGCTGCCCAGGTTAGTCCATGCAGCGGAATGACCTTTGTCCAATTGGACGGCGCAAATGTAAGCTTGCAACGCGTCCATTGGCTGATTCTGCTGCTGATAAAGAACTCTGTACAGAAACAAGAAGGCCGCGTGAAATAGCTGAATACCCTTCCTTTGCAGGGTTGCTACAAAGGTCTGATAATGCGAGTAAGAAAAACATTGGCATATAATATACATATGCATAAAAAATATGGTTAAGTACCTATTATAAGCAATAATCTGAGAGTCGCACCTCAATGAAAGTCGTTTAGGAATGGTTGGGTAAAAATAAAATGTTTTATATTTATTTAATATCAAATATACCAGATTCGATTATTATGCTGACAATGACTCAATTTCTGTCTCGGGATTTGAACCCGGACTTAGCGCAACAATAAAAATAAAATGTTCCCGACCGGACGAAGGTAGGTAGTAATGTTCGTATTTAATAACAGCATTATATGCACGTTCGAGATAAACCGGTCGTAACGTTTCACCAATGAATCGACAAATCTACAGGTCAGTTTAGGTAAAGAAAGACGAACGCACCACATCAACGAGACGACGGCTTTAGCGATTCGTTCAATCCTGTTTTTTTTTCGTGTTATCGGAGATTGAACTCTGAGAAACCAGTTATTAAGTCATTGGACCAAGATACAACCAGACGCCATTAAAAAACAATAAAGCTGTTTTAATGCAAGTAGCCGTCACCGCGACAACTTATTCTTAAACTTCACACGGTACGCCTTGATTTAAATTGAGAAGGTATGTGCCATACAATACATCATGATTTCGTGCCCATATTGGCACTCTTAAAGGTACCTGTCAATCACAATAAATCGCACAATGAAGTGATTGACATATGTATTAAAAGACCCTCTGCACTATAGGTGTTTTTATAGGAACTAATGGAATGTCAATAATTTATGTATAGGTACTGAAGATTTAACACTGCCATCGTTAATATAATTAACATTGCACAAGAGCAACTTCGGGTCGAGTTGCGTTAAATTTACTTTACAATATTAGAAATGCGATTTCTTTCTTTATCTTTCTAATATATTAAATATTAGAAATAGTTTACATTTCACCTAAGCACTAAAAATGCAAATGATCCGCGAATCGTCTCAATCAAATATTATGAAATATTTCCGATGACCTTACCCAATAGAGCACCACGTGTCGGCGTTTCCTTCCGACTTCTCTACCGAGTTTCTATAGACGATGAATGCGTCATGGACTTTGCCTTGGGCAGCGAAGCATCTCCCGAGCAGGTAGAGCCCGGCGCCCGAGTCTGGTTCCGCGTCCACCGCTCGCCGAAGACACCAGATGGCGGCGCGGGCTCGAGCCGCCGGATCGCACAATGACGCACAACGATGATACAACCATCCTGCAAACATTTACCATGAAACAGCTATACCACCCCTACATTGCTAGCATCGGAATAGAAAATGATGCTAGCTATGGAGGTTTTCCTAGCTCAAAGAGTAGCGCATGTTTTGGAGAAACCTCCTTCTGTCTAAGCCCCTAGCTAATTAATATTCGCGTTTCCAGAACTTCATACGGAAGCCGGCAAGGTGATGAAGATTCAAGTCTTTCCTCCACCGCAATCTTCACAACTAGACCATATGAATAAAAGCGGCCAAGTGCGAGCCGGACTCGCCCATGAAGGGTTCCGTAGCAGCAAGTAACATAATATAACAGTTCTTGTAGTTCGTTGTAACTTTGATCGATGTTTTAATAATCGTGTATTTTAATAAATTGATTTGTGATTTATGACTTATTAAAAAAAACTACTTACTCGATCTCGTTCAAACCAATTTTCCGTTTTTTGCCATTAGGCTACGGAACCCTAAAAACTACACAATCGTTTGGCCATCGAGTAGACGAAAGCAGAAGATAATAGTAAGTACAGGGCAGTTCCATTTCTAACCCATTGACATAACTATCTGGCTTTCGATCTCCCTCACTATTCTGCCAGGATCGCTGGCAGAATTCGTTCTCGTATAACGGTATAACGTGGCCGCAGCAGGAATAATGTACATACATACCTGACAGTCACTTCAAAACAATTTGCATATAAACTATGCTTTTATCAGTCGCTTCTTTGCCGAAGGCGTATACAATATATCCGGCAAAGCTTTACACAAAAAACTTTTTGAACGATTATAAAATACATAGAAACTCTTCTTACTATTGGACAATGTTGACTTTTCCAAGGTGACCCGCGACAATAAAAAGAAAGTGTGAAGATAACTTGTACTTATCCTTTTATATTTCCAATATTCACATTCATTTATTCGAAATAGGTAACTTTAAAATTTCCTTAGTACGTCCAATTCGTTCGAATGACGAAAATACATTTACGGCAAGTTTAAAATAGAATGCTCTTGTACACGAATGTATAGGGTGCGTACAAAAAGAGAATAACTAGTTAAATATAGCATACATATCGGTAGAATCAATAAAAGGGTAAACGGTTGTTATCATATGTGACGGCACACGATATTTAGGTAGTATTTTTGTTATCTATTTACAGGCTCTTGTGTGTATAGTACAATAAAGTAAATAATTACGTAACAAAAACATATAGTTCTCAGTCGCGTCACTTTATTGTTTTTTCGAATTATATTTGCAACGATAATATAACGAAAACACAATTCAATTACCATAATATCCTTCGTGGCCTATTAGGGCCTGTTTTCAAGTTATAAAAATCGGCGACTATAGTGCAGATCATTGTTCATTGATTTTAAACAAATTTAAAATTAATTGAGTAAAATTATCAAAGATTAACTAAAAATAGATTTCAATTTAAATATACTACTGGTTCACGTTGGAGGAGGTAGGTAAACAAATGCGCGTTTAACCCAAGAAAACTTTTCAAATCAAACGACAGTATTGCAAAATATCCGAGTGTTCGTTCGAAACAAACCAGTTCTGAAACAAGTACAGTCAATGGTGGGATGCTATATTATTTGCAATAACAGGATTTATTATCACAACAGCATACCAATTTAGGGTTTGAACACTGGCTTATATTCTTACTTCGCTTTGATTGTGCTCTGATTGGTCGGTCACACTTAAGGAATGCGAATGGTCAAATATGAAATGAAAGATATAAGACAATTACGCAATATGAAAAAGAACTCGAAAGTAGGAAACATGTCAGAAAATACACTGGCCTGCAAAACTAAGATCATACTTTTAAAATAGTTATAATCTTATAAACACACAAGGTATACGTTTGAAATCCTGCTGGAAAAATGTTACTAATTATTTTAAATCTCTAACTTCTGTAATTCTGAAAATTTTGAAATTATAAAAATGTGATATTTGGTTTTGCAGGCCAATCAAGTACCTACTCGATATATCCTACCTACATTCACGTAATATTATGTACTCCTCTCAGAAAGTAAGCGCTATAAAAATCAACTTACCTAGCTGACGGCAGACATCGGCCTTCAAAGAAGATGATAGTTGAGGTTCCTTTAGTAGGCGCTCGTAAGCGTCTCTGGCGAGCTTCCTCAAACCCTTCGCTTCCAGCAGGTGAGCTGCGTGGAAACTGAGCTCTAGTCGCGTGAAGGTAGCGTCCTGATGGGGCGCCAGGCGAGCTCTCTTGAAATGCACAGCAGCTGCAGCCCAATGCCTGCGAGCCTTGAACATCAGCGCCAAGCGCAGATGCGCGTCCGCAGCCCTTGAGAACCCCGGCGACACGTACAACGCCATTTGCAGGGCCTTCGTCGCCCTAACATCAAGAAGTAAATACGAACTACCGGCGATAAACATAAAAGTTATTGTTCCCCACGACCAGTACAATAATCGAGGCAATAAAACCATTCTTTAGAATTTAAAAGTCTACTACCTAGCATTGTGCCTAGCAATTCTGTTTACTGTCGTGTTGCATTATGTTGTTGCACAAGGTCAGTTAAAGGCTTCCTCTGCATGCATTATATTATATTACCCATCTATTATTAGTAATGCTAACAAAGAAAGCGTTGCATAATTTAACTTATATTTACAATGATTGACAAAGACGGAGCTAGCAGAAAGTAAACATGGTAATAAACAAAAAAAAATCCGTAAAATGTATACAAAGTTCTTAACAAAGGCTAACAATTTGCTGAGCCTTAGGGAATCGAAAATTCAAAGCGCAAGGTTTTTTTACGTCCGAAAATCTAAACCGGTCCGTCTCGCTTTTTGTAAAGCTTTCAAACGTGCGTGCTGCAACACGCGCAGAGCTTTTGCCCAGAGAATCGAATCTTATTATGATCTTTAGAAATTAAAGTTAGAAAAAAAAAATATATGTACGAGTTCCGCGCAGTTGGATTAACTACGACTTAGGTAAGTAACATTGATCTGTATTTTCATTCAAAATTTAAAGTCGTGCGTAACAAGACACCACTTCGGAATCCATCCACGGAATCCATGAAAGAACGCAGAGATAACGTCAAGGTGGATAAGTTTGACAAAAGAGAGCCGAGGAGTCCGTAATATCCGTAAGGTTATTGAAGAGCGCATCACCGGAGCGTAACGTCACCGATGCGCCCGCGGGGTCGATGACCGTCTGAAGTTCGTTCGTGCAATCGATCGCCCGATGCAACTCAACGTCTAGACAGCGATCGCAGCCCGAATCGGACGCCTATACCACCTTTTTAGATGACCTCTGCTGACATTTGCAAGCCCGAAACAAAAGAGCGAGACAGGTGGATTGCAAATTTCAATTATATGCACACGCAGAAGAGAGCTTTCACCCGCCACGTCGCAGACGACATACATAATCGTACTCAACATTACACTTTACACACAGTCATTGTTCCACGGAATAGTCGTGATTACTAGTTGTCACGCAACATTCAAAAGTAGAGAGAAAGAAGTATGCAGTGGGACATGTGTATTCTTTCTACCGCTCAGTGCAATCGAATTAAACTTTTATTAGCAAATTCAGAAGGCATTTGCATCAAAGAAAGCAAATTAAATTTATAAAAATTCTATCCTTAAAACATTGGACAAAGACAGTGATATGTCAAACATGAGTAAGCTCAAAGATTTAGGGCTACTTAGGCCAAGAAAGTGAAACTCAGTTCCCTAAACAAAATCAGAACAATTAATACAAAAGTTAATAAATTATGCCTACTAATAAATATGTTGCAGAAATAATAAAAAATCTAGATTTTGTATGGTTTATTTTCATGGAGGCTTCTTCTTTCTGCTCACACCACACAGCTTACTTATCCATATTAATCAAGTTTTTTGTTGCCTGCTTATCGTCCGTTGTTTATATTCTAAACAACGGAGGAACTAGATCTGACGTATCATAACATTTTTACCTAAATCAAGTTACCTGTATTATCGAAAGGCATAGACATACATAGCTACTAGATCTGTGTCATTGCAAACATAGTCATTGTAGTACTCTTTATACAGACATGAAAATAAGTTAAATTAAGGTTAATAGACTGGCACAAAGATTCGCAGATTCGCAATCCAGTGCTGTTAATAGATTGCAGGGATAGAACTTAAATCATAATATGTAACATTTCCTTTCGTTTAGTTTTCTTACACACGTTTTCATAAAAGACTTAGTAATATATTGTTTTAAACTTTCATGGTCACTAACATTATAGTAATATAAGTTATTTACGGGATTGTTACCATGTACCTTGTTTTTAGCGAGTTTCCGATATTTCGGCACTGTTGCAAGCGCCATGATCACGGAGTAACTGAAGTAATTGCGGGTAGGCTGTTATTGGCAGACATATCGGTCTACCCTCCGACGAAGTCTTTTATTGCGACCCGTACCACTGTTCACATTCTCACTATTCACTCGAAACTGTTCTCGACACACAACACTTACAGTATCGGATCGCGACACGACACTTTTTTGATTATTTCCGGTTTTACACATACGAACCACAGGATTCCAGACACTCGACAATTTAAACCCGTCCTCACGATTGAAATTTTTATGTTTTGTTATTTCAATCGCTTCCCTGACCAATCTTGGTATGTAGTGGCGTTCTGTCGAGATATATATCTCGACAGAACGCCACTACATACCAAGATTGGTCAATAAAAGACTTCGTCGGAGGGTAGACCGATATGTCTGCCAATAACAGCCTACCCGCAATTACTTCAGTTACTCCGTGATCATGGCGCTTGCAACAGTGCCGTAATATCGGAAACTCGCTAAAAACAAGGTACATGGTAACAATCCCGTAAATAACTTATATTACTATAAGACTTAGTAAGTGATACAGATGTAAAAGGTTATTCCGCGCTTCCAAAGGTACTTACTTATACGTACTTAACTAGATACTGATAAAAAATTTCTCGCAACTATTATCTTTCAACAACAGTCATGCAATGTCTTCTAAACTGTCACTCTCGTGGATCGAACTGCGTGCACATGACACACACTGCACACTGTTTAATGATCTATTGTGCACTCAACTCTTCAACTCAATAGGAATTTACTACACACAACACAGTAATACTACTTGAATGTTGCAGTTAGTGATAAGCACTTGTGATAAAATAATGGTTTTCAGCGTAATCAGAAGTGTAAACCACAACCTTGACGCTATACTTATATCCTTAACAGAGAATGAAAGTGAGATACATACTTGTAAAATTTCGAGATCATGTTAGAATCAGGCCCACTGCATTTTTTATTTCGAATGTTTAGTACTGTAAAAGTATCTTATTAAAGATTGGGGAGGCCTACAGTGTGAAGAGGTGTGGATTCTAGAAGAAATACGACACATCCGTTAGAATAGCGGTCAAGTCAGTGCATTTGCCCGGTTACCGAAGGACGCAGATTATTTTTAATTGGAATAGATAGTACACATTCACACACCAATTTTCATACTTGTAAGTCCAGAAAGAACATAGTTCCCAAAATCCCTTTTTGGCTGCCGCCTACTACTTATAATGTTACAAATACACAAATTCCATACTCATTAGTCAAGTAGTATCATTCAGGGAATGAATAAGAGACATTTTGGATTTAATAAAGTTACTTACACACTTGTTTCGTAAAGGGATGGGCAAATAATTAATTTCCATATAAACACCTCAAGAAAACTACATTCGGTTCAGATTTTTATTTATAAATCGATCTCAATTTTGCTTTACTATCTATAGCAAACTTGTAATATTTTAAATTGACATGATAATGATAACAACGAACTGCGCGGATATTTGTCCCGTTTCCTTTTTCGGTAACGTGGGCGTGGTAAATAAAAGCTAGTAAGCATGCTGAAAAAAAAATACGATTCTAATATAAAACGATCACGGAAAGAAGAACAATAACAAAATATCCATAAATATTCTCGTAGTTTCAGCATCGGGCTAATGCGATACGTGTGTGTGGGACGATAAAACCGAGCAACGAAGGCCACGTGGATTATCTTACTATTATTCATCTTCGCTTGTATGTTTAAGATAAAAAGGAGCTGTGGCACCCAGGTAACCCAATTACGTACCGATGTATTCATACAAAAGCCTGTCTACAAAAACGAATCCCAGCCGAAATACATCGCATGGAATAATCAGATTTGAGTGTGCCGGAATCAATAAACATCTGGTAAAAGCGTGCGGTTTCAAAGCTCTGGGAAAAGTAAAGACGCTTACATTACAATCATGTTATAAATCTAATGTACAGAAAATTGCCAGACGACGTTATGAGGTTTTATCACTAGGAAGTATATTTGGCTACGTTACTAGTTTATTGGTGTTAACTTTTGTGTCATTTGTTATCGGTGGCGATGCACAGTGCTCGCGGGTGTGGCGATTAAAAACAGCGAGGGGAGTACAGTTCGGCCTGACCTAGTTCTGCACTCGCGGCGGCTCAAGGACGGATCGACCGCTATTTATAGAGTTCATTCGTCGGTCGTCATAGCATCGCACTTTACATAACAGAAGCAAGTCGCTAGGTGCGCTATGATCGTATTGTACCACGAGCACGTGATAAGCCGCGCGACCGCCACGTAAAATATGCGACTGCGCGGACTCGAGTCGAGCGCCGGACCTAATCAACGAGCACTTTCCCACGAAACCGCCTAACAGAGGGGATTGATGAATGTTTAGAATTTAATTCCACATCGGCTACCCGAGTTATACGGTTATGTTTATGGAATAATTACGGGCACTCGCTTATTTACGTATTTGATCTTTAATAATAAGAAATCATGCCGCTTTAGCAATGATTGTAGCAAAATAATATCATTCTACATCTAATATTGTTCGTGACGACGTGATAAAATCAAGCGGGTGCACTTAACATAAACCTGCAGTTCACCTGACTGTATTGCATCACGACCTTGGCTTCATGGCAACAGAATGCAATACAAAATGCAGTTGCACACAACAACAAGGTGTTGCTAATGCAAAGCGAGATTATGAATTTTATTTATTCATTGTTTTTTATTTGTTAGAGGTTAAATTGTTATGAATTTAAATCACATAGAATAATAAAATTGTATTTTTATTATGATCATTACTATGAAACATAAAAAAAGAACGGACATGTGAATCAATAACATGTCGTTCTAGTAGATTTATTATTTCTTGTATGAAATAAGTCACCCGTGTATTAAACATCTTTGATTCGTTTCTGCATGTGCTACCTTGCATACTTCCATTTGTACGAAATTGATAATGAACGAGGGCTCGTTTATCGCTGGCGTCATGCTAGTTGACCCAGTTTCGGCCCATACGATATCACTTATAGAGTAAGCGTAGGTTACTTACTCTATAACAGATATCGAATGGGGCGAATGATCTCATAAAATATATCTCATAAGCCTAATAGTCTTATACAAAAGTCGACAAAGTGCACACAGTCTGTATCATTAAAACATATTAGACTAATTTATTCGACCTCGTCCTATAGCGAGATCCCGGTAGTTATGCTAATAATATTGGAAATATGTATGTCGAACTATATGGTTACTGCATGCCACGCTACTCTAATGATGGTAGGGAATGATGCCCATTGCCCAAAGCAGACGACTGACCAGCTCCGAGATCTTTTGGATAAAAATCTTGACATAATGACAACAAAGAAACATTTATTGCAAGTAGGTGAAAATTATGGTGCTGACATACTTTTAGATGTAGGGAAGCGTGACCTTGTGATTAAATGGGCGGAAATATAAAATAAATAATCACCGAAATTATGCTTCAAAGAAGAGTTTCTGATCAGCTGAAAAGCGGAGAAGCTCTGACTTTTGAGGAACCCAAATAATAATATAAGGTGAATATTGCAGAAGATATCAGAAGACTCAATCACATAGAAGGTTCTACCAATTACAATTTGAAATTTGGATCGCATCTACCTAATTGTAATCCATTGAAAATGAATTACCAAGAAAACCGTGCGAATAAAACACAAACCACGATAGTTGCATCGATAAACTGCAACTACAATGTCAGGAAATACTCAATGTGTGTCGATTCTGCAGCCATTCTGTTGTAGCAGTGCAAATGCACGTTCGAGGTCATCCTACGGTACTTGAGACCTAGGCTCACTCCTATAGGTCGACAAGCAAGCTACAACTATTATTATTATCAAGTAAAACGGCTATTAGTACATCCATGCCAGCTATTAGTACATTTGCTTATGGTTTCATAATAAGAAACGACTTACTTGAAGGAAGAATCTAAATAAGTCATGTAGTTAAAAATTCAAAGCAATGTTGAGGTTATTGGTCTTTGGATAGAGTTTGGCAAAGGTAACTTTGTCTAGAGGTTACCGTCTCAACCTTCTCGGCAATAATGTTAGATGAGACAATTTTGAAAGTCGCCTGACAAAATGTTAAATTCATTAGGCTAGCCAACAAAGGTGCATGGACATTACGGTGACTTTTAGAGAAATGGTCCAATAAAGGGCAGGATGACAGCAATTTCGTTTTCATTTAATACAAAGTTTAAATATTTCTAAGAACAAAAGCACGTCGTTATAATACTGCAAACAAGACAAACGATGCGAGTCGTGTTATGCGGAAGTGAGCGGTCGTGTCAGCTGCACTGCATAAACTGCATTGCACTCTGCAATTCAACGTGCGTTGCACGTACATCGCAGCGACGATGTCAATAAAAACAATGAGCTCGCGCATACATTATGCGATTCCATTATCGAACAGGTTTGCCTTGGACGCTGAGCCCATCTAACTTAGACATTGTTTGACCGATAAAATTCTACAGCTAACTACTACAAAATATTTCAAATGTCTATAATAAAACGAGCTGACATTGAAA